TTTTGACCATTGAGACTACTAGAACTAAACTAGAGACCATCATCACAAATAGCCATTGAGCTGAGTGGTCAAAAGTGGCCTCGGTAGCGTAATAGGGAACGCAACTGCCCGGTAAGCAGAAGATGCGGGTTCGAATCCCGTCCGTGGTCCGACTTTTGCCCATAACTCAGCATTCTTGTGATAACTTCGGGGATCGTTCCAAAGAAGGAAATTGTAAAGGGGACGTTTTCCTAACGGCACGACGTGGATGGACCACTTGTGACTGTTCGACGATTCCCTTCATAGCGACCGCGTCTACTTCCATGGTTGAGGCAGGAGGTGTAAAGATCTCAGTGATGAAAGTGAGATGATATTGGGGAGACCTCATCTCTTTATAACGTCAGTAAGCTAGAACAGGGTCCGGGCATCAACCGTCTTCGCATTTTACTGGTGCAATACATGAAACAAAATCTGAACTTACTCCGCCTCTTTGCTCCACTTTTTTCTTCCCTAACATGTCTCATAACCCATTCACATTCGTATTTGGACCCGACTACCAGCAACTGGTATGTGCGAAATATGCTTTTAAGAGTGCAAAAAATCGTACTGGTCTTTCCTTTTCGGGTGTCCTATGTCCCGTCAATGAAGGACGAGAAGTGACCTTCATCGAAAACTGGAAAATAGATGTGCTTTTCTTCTCACAGGAGGTCTCTGTTTAGCAACCTTGCTTGAGGGCACTTGTCTTACCAGTTTGTTCTCCTTCTGAATAGTTATTCATATTCATGTTTTGTTTCTTCATCGTTGATTTTTTTTGGCAGAAACGCGAGGCATAGCTTTATTAATCACAGTTGCACCTAAAAGTGTGAGTAACTTAGAAAGTAAAGTGATTGCTACCGTTGATTTCCAATGTTAGGTATGCTGTGAATACCCAACATTCAATCCCCGTAGACATGGATATGAAAGCCAGTTGTTAAGGCATGTTGCGGTCAACGCAGAGGGTAACGCTCGTGCAGAGAATGATGGCATCAACGACGGCTCCCCTCATCAAGAAGATCAACCGAGTTTTAATCGCCAATCGAGGTGAAATTGCTATTCGGGTGATGAAGACTGCCAGAAAGATGGGCATCGAATCAGTGGCTGTTTTCTCGGACGTAGACAGGAATGCGCTGTTTGTCAAGAAGGCAGATCAGGTAGGAGAGGTGTACTCGTGTGTTCAACAGTAGTTGAAATTTTTTGAAATGACGATTTTGAACTCATTTCTTTCAGGCCTACCACATTGGGCCAGCTGCAGCTGCTCAGAGTTACCTGAATATTGACAAAATTATCGATACTGCACTCAAGGCCGGTGCTCAGGGTGTTCATCCTGGATACGGGTTCTTATCGGAGAACGCGAAATTTGCAGAAAGATGCGCCGAGGCCGGTCTCGTGTTCATTGGACCACCCGTACAGGCCATAAGGGACATGGGTACTAAAAGTCTCGCAAAGCAGATCATGCAAGATGCCAAGGTGGGTATTCTCTGCCGTTCCTCTTTTTTCAAATGATGAATAGTGCTTGAATAGGGTTAATATAC